AAAAAAAAAAAAAAAAAAAAAAAAAAAAAAAAACAGAGGAGATAAAATTAAAAGAGATGTGAACTAGGAAAAACAACACAAAAGGAACATAAGTTTAAACTAATAACCCATTTTTTTGTCGTTTACCAATAAAATATTTCATATTATTACTTATATCATTTATGTTATCATTGTGATATTGTGGATTTTTTATTATATTTGTAATTGTTTTTTTAATCAAGGGCCCTTTTTATTATTGTTGCTCCAGGTTCATTCAAACATTGGGAATCAGCATTTCACTTAGTGAGCTTAGACATTCTTCTGTGAAACCACAATCAAAGACACTCCAAATGTTTGTGCGTAACAATTGTTATTCCGTTGGAAATTAATAAAACCAGTATGGCCAAGGTATATTATATGACTAGGATGACAAGGAAAAAGATAGTGTTCTATCCTTGCTGTAATTGTGATAATTAGGTATGAAGGCACCATTTTAAATAAATTCAGTTAGAAATTAAAGTATCTGTTGAGATAAAATTTATTTTACGTTCTTGAAAATATTTTTAACTTATTTCCAGAAAGTATAAAAGTGGGTTCATTAAGTTTAGTTTTATTCTCTCACAGGGATTCACATTCATCTACCAAATGTTGATTGTTGTATACATATATTTATTTGGGATGGAGATTGCTATACTGATTACTTGAGGATTTTAATATGGAAAATTTGATTTTCATGATATCTAGAAGAAATGAAATTGTTTAACAAAAATGGGAAAAAAATATAAGAAAAGAAAAACTAATTTTCTTTATCTAACTTAAAGTTTATTAAGAAGATAGATGTTTATGTTAATAGTTCAATATAAAAAAAATATAAGAAAAGAAAAACTAATTTTCTTTATCTAACTTAAAGTTTATTAAGAAGATAGATGTTTATGTTAATAGTTCAATATAAAAACTTCTTAAGATCTTAATGTTATTAGTTCAATATAAAAACTTGATAATGACAGCATAAATTGATAAAACATATTAAATAGGGGATTTAGTAGACGATTGCCATAAACTGTTAATTATCTGGCAAACCAAAAAAATATACGCACAGTTCTGACCAAGAGATATGATGCTACGTTGGAAAATTTTACAATGTTCCAATTATTTAAAATGTGAAAATACTTTTATTTTTTAAAAATTCAAATCTATACTTATATAGAAATACTAGCGCAAAACCCATGCGATGCACGGGAAAACAATATTCAGTGAATTAAAATATTTGTTAACAACCTAACACATAGATGATGAAATATTTGTTAACAACCTAACACATAGAGAATTAAAATATCAAACACAACCACATGTATGTCTACATATTTAGAAATTATATTAAAAATACAACTATTTGCTTTTGAAAAGTTACATTGTCAACATCTTGTGGGGTAGCAAAATTACGTAAGTCAAAATAAAATGTTGGGAAATCGGTAGGATACTCCAACACTTTCGGCTTCCCATGAATAATGAGTTTGAACTTTGCGAGAGCAAAATTACATTGACAACTATTACTTAATTTTATTTTTTTTGCCGATTTTGGTGAAAATCATATCATATCTCAAGAACATACTATGCCAAAAGCGAGAGCAACCCCATCCCTCTCTTTCCTTTTTTCATTTTTTTTTTCATATTTTGGTAGTTATAAAATTATTTCAATAATGTACATCCTTATCTCTTAAATATATGACTTTTTCAAGGATTTGGGTTGAATGCTAACTTCTTGTGCAAAATAGTTATGCTAATTTCTCAACTATTCCCTTTCCATTATCTTTCAATAGTTTAATAACAAATATATATATATAGGATGTAGTTCAAATGAAAACCAAGTCTTAGCATAAAAACCGTGAGAACTGTTATTTTTAATTGTATGTAGTGCTATTTTTTATTGTGTTTTAGTGCTATTTTTAACTAGAATGTATTTTATTAAAAATAGCAATACAATTTATATTAGCACTTGTGAAAATGATACCACCATAGGATATTAAAAAATAGTTTCATATACAATGAAAAATAGCATCAAATACGGTTCTCACACCAGAACTAGCTTTTTCATTATATATATAATTTCAATTTTATATTGGATATGCATCTTTATAATGTACAATGATCGACATAGGTTTATTAGTCCTTTACGGGAATGTGGAATTTGAAAAGCAAGTACATAAGATACAAGTTTAGCACGAACTTAATCATATTTGTAACAAATATTAATGAATAAATGATTTATTATGTCCGAACCTTTGTCACGATTCTCTATTCTTGTTTAAAGCTAGAGTTTGAAGGCCCAATCTAGAGAAAAATGACAACATGAGATGAGGACTCAAATGTCGAATATAAAATATGAAACTTCTTGATTGTTTGACAAAATTTTGTGATACACGTCAATTGTTGTGTATATGGAACCTTCACTTTGTTTTACATTACATTATATATTTATTGATTTGGGATTCCCTTGATTGTCTTGTAATTTGTATAAGTAATAGTTTTTACGCTTCTAAAGCGCATTTTTCGTCTATTAATTTTTTTCCTAAGCATATGCACTTGTGTCCATAACATATTTAGCATGTCTCACTTAATTTTTAATAAAACTAATATCTTCAACAAAATTAAATTAATATTTCCTATTTAGTTAAATAAATTATATGGTTCGCGTGCGTGGCACGTGCACCTTCTAGTGGTAAGGAAATGGCTAGGGATTTTTGGACGACAAGGGAAACATATATTTTAACACATCTATACTCTTGTTTCATTTTTATGTAAACACATTTTCTTTGTTTCGGAGCCAGATCTCTTTTGTTCTCTAGATTAGCAGTGGATGCTATAAATTTTTGTTCTAGCCATAGATGGCATGAAAATTTCGTGGCTAAGTTGTACGTGATTTATGCCTAAGTGCTTATCGTGGTCCTCTGGTTGCAAAACTTTTGTTTCACTTTGAGTTAAAAATTCTCTATTGCTGTTGGAAAAAGAAAATAAATATATAAATCTACCGAGTTCAATCTTAGTACCTAAATCAGATACCTATCAAATATGAGAGCCCTTAATGGCCTTTCTGCAGTATCCTGAGGTGAAGGGATCTTTTGAACTATTGCACTTAATATTTCATTGATACCTATGCCTTCCTGCAAAATAAAAGAAAACATTAGATACTCTCCAATCATATTAACAATGAAACACTTAAAAAAAAACAAGATTATTTCCTCCAGTAGAAAACACATCAATCATTGTACTTGGGAAAGTAAAAATTTAAGTGTATTTTGCTGATGTACCCTTTAAATTGAAATATATTTATATATGTATACATATATATACACACATTTTGGTGACTATTTTCCCAATAACCGTGCAAATCACAAATAGGTGAAAGAAACTTAATATTTACCTGGCCTATTTAAAGAAAGAGGCCTTTACTTGAAACAAAAATTGCAACCAAACCAATCATAAGGGACAAGGGGAGTACTTACATAATCGGATGTACATTTGCACTTCATTGCGAGGATTTGTAAAGCAAAACAAACAAAAAAAGTCTACAACAATTAAACAAAATATAGTTAGTAAGATATGGAGGAAAGAGTACCAACCTTTGCGGAGCAATAAATTGCATCACTACAATCAAGACCGACCACCTGTTAAGAAATCAAAATAATATTTTAGGCGCGTTTGTATACCAATATATCCTCTCAAATGAGTTTTTTTGTAACTAAACTTAATTTGAAAAAATGTAGGCAAAATTGCATTTTTAGTCTTGCTGGTTCAACGTTGTAGCATTTTTAGTCCCAAGATTTTAACTTTTTGTCTTTTGTTTCTGCAATTTCAGTCCAAAAGGACTAAAATTGCGTTGAATTTTTAAATCATAGGACCAAATAGCAAAAATGTTCAATTTTTAGGACTAAAAAAACCACTGGATCAAACCAGCAGGACTAAAATTGCAATTTTGCCAAAAATTTAGTATGGTAAGTTGTTAGTGATATTTTTAGTCCATGTTAAATAATATTTAAATTGAAATAATTAAAGTTGACTTGATGTAAAAGAATGAGAGAGATGATGTAAAGTGATGGTTTAGTTAAAATTATGTGAGTGGATGAATAGTTAATTAAAGTTGATGTGAAGTGTAAGAGTAACTAATTCATATTATTTAATTATATTGATAATATTGAGGTTGGGTTAAAGTTGAATTAAATTTTGAGTATGAATCAGTGATGCACTAGAAAAGCATGAAATCTTACTAGCATTCATATACATATGTGGAATTAAAAATCCAAGAGAAAGTACATAGTCCATTCTTAACTAACCTCTTCTATCTCTCGGGCAACACGTTCTGGCTCAGCACCTGGGAGGTCTATCTTGTTCAGAACCTGTGGTTTTGAAATGGCTTATAACACTGGAAACACCACCACCCAACCCCAAACCCTGCCTAAAATGAAAAAAAATAAAAAAATAAAAAATGAAAGAGTAACAGCATTTTGAATTGCTGAATATCTTGTCATTTTTCGGAAAGTTATGAATGGCTTTTCTTATATTCTGCATTGACATAGGCTCACCAAATTACATAACCTATATTTGGGTATGTGGGATATGCAAAAATTCAAATAAATATGCAGTTTGATAAATGACTTCCGCAAGCATTCACATGTCTTTTCCAAATTAGTTGTCCGTATAGCATTGGCAGGCTAGAAAACTTAGCACATTTAAATAAACAGTATTTTCACGTTCATGGGAATAAAACGAAATCGGAAAAGAGACTTACTGGTATGATCTCAAGGTTGTTTTCCAAGGCCAAATACACATTGGCCAAAGTTTGGGCCTCCACTCCCTGCAAACTAGGCTTGTAAACAAAGCGACTTTTTTTTATTCAATTCGATATTCGAATTCGATATTCGTGATTCGAATTCGAAATATTCAAATACGAATTACGTTTTATACTTGAAAGTTAAACGAATTCGAATTCGAATTTGCAGATATTCAATTCGAAATTATCAAATATTCGCTTCGTTTACAATAATTATATAAATTTTATAAATTATATATAGTATAAAATTTGATTATATATATATATATGTGTGTGTGTGTGTGTGTAATGTTATATTCCTAATATTTTTATGACAAACAGAAAAACAATCCAAAATTAACAATTTGCCCAGATAGAAAAAACATAAATAATATTTCTATAATCATAATTTTTTTTCTTTTTAGTTGCAATATTTTTCTAAAAACGAATTTCGAATAGAATCGAATATGTTCGAATATTCTAAACGAATCGAATACGAATAAAAAAAGGAGTTCGTTTACACATTCCAATCCTCGAATATTTTAACGAATCTGAATCGAATAGCTTATCTTCGCTTTGATTCGATTCGTTTACACCCCTATGCAAAACAAGGTTCCAATCAAAGCACAAATCACTATACAAAAAAAAAAAA